AGATACCCCAGGAAGGAGTTACAGACTGGAATCTAATCGAGGGGTTCGGGGGGGTTTATATACAGAATAACAGATACCCTGGGAGGGAGTTACAGACTGGAATCTAATCGAGGGGTTCGGGGTGGTTTATATACAGAAAAACAGATACCCCGGGAGGGAGTTACAGACTGGAATCTAATCGAGGGGTTCAGGGTGGGGTTTATATACAGAATAACAGATACCCCGGGAGGGAGTTACAGACTGGAATCTAATCGAGGGGTTCGGGGCAGTTTATATACAGAATAACAGACACCAGGGCCAGAGTTACAAATTGGAATTTAATCAAGGGATTCAGGGTGTTTAGGTGTGTGGAATAACAGATACTTGGGTGGCATTTGATAAGATGTCACACAGTAGACTCAAAAACAGAGTTAGAGCTCATAGAATTTGAGTATGAATAATAGTGATGTCAATAACAATACAGATATGATTGCCAGGAAACAGAGGCTACTGGTTAATGGGTGTGTTTGAGACAAGAGGAAGGTTTACAGACAGATGAGCCAGACCTTGGGGTACAGGTCCCAATTTGAACTTTGAACTTTAAAGCCTTGTGAACGATGAGGAGGATAATATCGAAGTTCAAAAGGATACAGACAGCCTGGTGGAGTGGGTTGACAGGTGAAATTTAAAGCAGAAAATGCTGAAGTGATTCTTTTGGTAGGAGGAAGATGGAGAGACTATATAAACAAAAGGGCACAGTACCAAAGAGGGAGCAGGAGCAGAGAGTGTACAGATCATTGAAAGTGGCAGGTTAAGAAAATGGTTAATAAAGCAGACGGTGTCCTGAGATTTTTAATAGGTGTGTCATGTACAAAAGTAAGATAATGTTTGTATAATCTGTATAAATCATGAGTTATGTTTCAGTATAATATAGTGTTCAGTTCTGCAAGTCACAATTTAGGAAAGCATTAGAGAGGACGCAGAAAAGATTCACAAGAATGGTTCCAGAGATGAGGAACTTTGGTTATATGGATAGATTGGAGACGTTGAGATTGTTTGAAAGGAGAAGGTTGAGGTGAGATCTGACAGAGGTATTCAAAATTATGACAGGTCTGGATAGAGTAATAAGGGAGAAAGTGTTCCCATTGGTGCAAAGGTTCAGAACCAGATTTAAGCTTTCAAACAAAACAAACAGTGAGGAGGAACCTCCTCACCCAGTGAGTGGTTTGAGTTTGGAATACTCTGCCTGGGACTGTCATGGATGTAGGTTCAATTGAGGCACTTGTGAGGGAATTGGATTGTTACCTGAAAAGGAAAAATGTACCGGTCTAGAGGGAGAAGGCAGGGAGTAGCACTCAGCTTTGTTCCTTCAAAGAGCCAGCACAAACATGATGGGCAAAATGGCCTCTTTTGTAGTGTAACTGTTCTGTAATTGTGTGAATAGCAGATGCTTGAGAGAGGGTTCAAGGCTGGAGTCCAATTGAGAGCTTTGGTAGGGTTTATTTACTGAGGCTGCAGAATAACGACTGATTTCTGTGCCACACAGCTAACCTGCTGTTGCAATGCTGTACAGATCAGCCATCTTTTGTAACAGGCCTTCCAGAGTAAGATCATCATTGCCCTTCATTCTGTGAATTTGGAACAGAAGCTAACTATGTTGTTTTTGTGCAATTGAGATGAAGTGGATTGTGAGCAGGAGTCCTGTGCCTTTCAGAATCAGACAGTTGAATACACCGTGTAGGTGAAAGCCACCAGCTGTGCATATCAATCAAACTCTTTTCACTGTCTTAGCCTTGTTGTCTTTAGCTTTCAAATAAAAAGACCAGAAACTGAAGCTGCTTTTCCATTCAATACATCAAAAGAGAAAGTGATAGAGTAAACAAGGAGAGACTGTGTTTCTATTGGCAGACAGTCAGTAACAGAAGATTTAAGATAATAGGCAAAAAAGCTCTCCTGAGCTGGAGATGAGAGTTTTTTTATTACAGAGTGAGTTGTTCTGATTTGGAATGTGCTCCCTAAAAGGGCACTGGGTGAGGTTTCATAGAGTCACTTACTGCAGTGAAAGAGGCCAACTCAGGTCTCTGAGTCCCTGCTAGCTCGCCATTGTAGCAATCCAACCAATTCTCCTGCACTAGCCCTGTAATCTCTGCAGAATTATTTCCCTCTGGTATCTAATCAGTTTCCTTTTGAAATCATTCAGTGTTGCCCCCAGCCCAACCTCCTGGGCTTCAAGAGCCGGTCGTTACCACACGCTGTGTATGAAAGTTCTTCTTCCTATCCCCCACATCTGTTGCCCAAAACCTTAACCCCATGTCTCTCTGTGATGTGGAGGTGCTGGTGTTGGACTGGGGTGGACAAGGTCAGAGGTCTCATGGCACCAGGTTAAAGTCCAACAGGTTCAGTTGAAATCACAAGGTTTCAGAGCGCTGCTCCTTTGTCAGGTGACTTCAGCGCTCTGGGATCTTGCAGGGGCTGGTGTTCCAATGTATCTGCTGACCTTGTCCTTCTAGACAGTGATGGCCCAGGGACTGGATCACTTATCCACTGGCATTTAGAAGGGAATCTCATGGAAACCTATAAATGCTAACAGGGTTGGATAGGCTAAATGCAGGAAGGATGGTCCCGATGACCAGAGAGTCAAGAACCAGGAAGGGTCACAGTCTAAGAATACAGGGTAGGCCATTTAGGACTGAGATGAGAAGAAATGTCTTCACCCAGAGAGTGGAGAGCCTGTGGGATTCAAGAAGGAGTCAGATATCGTTCTTAGGGCTAACAGGATCGAAGGAAGAAAGTGGGAACAGGAGACTGATTTGGGTATCAGCATGATCACATTGAATGGCAGAGTGGGCTCAATGGGCTGAATGGCCTACTCCTGCTCCTATTTTCTATGCTTTTCTATTTCCGTTGCTACAAGATAAAGAACCTCAGCATCTCCTAAATCATCCCGTCAGTAAATCCTTTGTCCCCATAAGCATTTTTGTAAGTCTCTTCCAGAACCTTTAACGGATGTGAGCATCCTTCTGAAAGCATGGCACCCAGAGCTGGACACAAGACCTGGTTGTGGTTTATATCCAGGGTCTCACAAAGCCTCAGCGTTTCCCTTAAGCTCTTGTGTTTGATATCTATGTCTCGGAAGCCCACACTCCCACATGCTTTGCTAAACACTCTAATGTTCTGCTACTTTCAAACACACAAAAAGGGGAGGTGATGGCCTAGTGGTATTATCGCTGGACTGTTAATCAAGAGACATAGGTAATATTCTGGAGACCCACATTTGAATCCCGCCATGGCAGATGGTGGAATTTGAATTTAATAAAATAACTGGAATTAAGAATCTAATGATGACTGTGAATCCATTGTCAATTGTTGGGAAAAGCCCATCTGGTTCACTAATGTCCTTTAGGGAAGGAAACTGCCATCCTTACCTGGTCTGGCCTATGTGTGACTCCAGACCCACAGCCATGTGGTTGACTCTTAACTGCCCTCTGGGTAATTAGGGATGGGCAATAAATGCTGCCAAGCCAGCAACGTCCTCATCTTGTGAGTGAATAAAGGATAAACACACGTGTCCAGGTCCCATTCCAGCACGTTGTTCAGAAAAGTGACATTTTGCCTATGTTATCTCTCACTGTCCTTGCTGCCAAAATAAAGCACCTTAAACAACAACTTTTGAAAAGCAAGTTAGGAAGCTTGGTGGTTAGCATTGCTGCCTCACAGCACCAGGAACCCAGGTTCAATTCCACCCTCGTGTGACTATCTGTGTGGAGTTTGCACATTCTCCCCGTGTCTGCGTGGGTTTCCTCCGGGTGCTCCGGTTTCCTTCCACAGTCCAAAGATGTGCAGGTTAGGGTGGGGACTGGCCATGGGAAATGCAGGGTTACAGGGTTAGGACAGGGGGGAGTGGATCTGGGTGGGATGCTCTTTGGAGAGTCAGTGTGGACTCGATGGGTCAAATGGCCTGCTTCCGCACTGCCAGGATTCTATAAATAGTTGGGAAGTACAAACTACCAGGACTATGGAGAAACACCGGGGAACACTTAGTGAAAGGGCAGCTGGTACTGTCATGTGCAAATGTGTGAATTAGGAGCAGGTATAGGCCATTCGGCCCCTTGAGCCTGCTTCATCATTCTTGACGATCCTTGGTTGACCTGGTTGTGTTTTTGACTCCACATTCCCAGCCAGCCCCCTATAACCTCCAGGGCTTTATGACTGTGGCTCTCTGGGTGTTTGCTGGTTTGTGTGAAAAGCCCCCGTGTGGTTTTATTTGAACGCACAGACCTGGCTCCCCGGCGGGCGGGTCTGGGGGACATGTATTCATTCTCCTGTGTTGCTCACAGCAGCTGCGAGCAGCAGCGAGTGCCCAGCGACAGGCAATGGCAGAGCTCAGTGGCCAGCTGAGGAACAGATACTCGGAGCGGGACATTCCGACAGAGATTGTGGCTCGTGTGCAGGGGACCAATGCGGCACTGACAGATGTCGAAGCCAAGGTAACTCTTTAAATTCTCCAGCGGCTTACACCATCCCAAAGATCTTCGACGCCAGTGAGGTACTTCCCTAAACGTCATCACTGTTTTGAGGGGGAAAACGTGGCAGCCACTTTATGTACAGCAAGATCCCAACCATAGGCAGGAATGAAATAAAATCTGTTTCCCTGGTGTTGTATATTCGCCAGAATCAGCTGTCTATTGCTCTTGTCTGGGATTTGAACCCTTGTCTTCTGACATCTCTGACTGGGTCAGCATTTATTCCCTAAAATCTCCCAATTTCCAAGGTGGGGGTGAGCTGCCTGCTTGAACCGCTGCAGTCCTCCTGCTGTGGGGTGACCCACAATGCCCTTAGGGAGGGAATTCCAGGATTTTGACCCAGCGACAGTGAAGGAACAGTGATATATTTCCAAGTCAGGATGGTGAGTGGCTTGGAGGGGAACTTGCAGGGGGTGGTCTTCCCATGTATCTGCTGCCCTTGTCCTTCTAGATAGAAGTTCTAGATAGAGGTTTGGAAGGTGCTGTCTGTGCATTTTTGGTGAGTTTCTGCAGTGTATCTTGTAGATGGTACACACTGCTGCTACTGAGCATCGGTGGTGGAGGGAGTGGGATGTTTGTGGATGTAGTGCCAATCAAGCGACTGCTTTGTCCTGGATAATGACAAGCTTCCTGAGCGTTGTTGGGGCTGCACCCATCCAGTAAAGTACAACCACAGGCCATTGCTTACTTTGTACTCTTTCACAAGTTAAAAATATTTGAAAGTTTATCATGGCTGACAAACTCTGACTTGGTAATGACATAACAACATGATACTAACCCATTCTGAATCTGAAGAATATCAATTGTCAGGGAGTGTCATCCGAACCAATGGAGTGTGGCAAAAAACATCACTCCGCTCAAAGGGCTTTCTGGATTTTCTTGTCAGCTGCAGGCACTGTGTCCCCAGGCCAGCGCGAGCCAGGATCTGAGCCACAGGATTGTATCTGTAACGAGTGGACTTCAGAGTGTGGAGAAGATGCTGCAGCGGTGCTCCAAAACACATACTGAGGCAAGGAATCAACAAAAGGTAAACACTCCAAATCCAACCCCCTGCAATCGGAATACCACACCCATTCACCCCCGACCCCCGAACACTACTGACACTGACTCAGTGATAGGCCCCCCTCCCCTCCTGAAGGTGCTGACTCTCACTGGGGTACAGGGACCCCCTCCCCTCCTGAAGGTGCTGACTCTCACTGGGGTACAGGGTCCCCCTCCTCTCCTGAAGGTGCTGACTCTCACTGGGGTACAGGGTCCCTCTCCTCTCCTGAAGGTGCTGACTCTCACTGGGATGCAGGGTCCCCCTCCCCTCCTGAAGGTGCTGACTCTCACTGGGGTACAGGGTCCCCCTCCCCTCCTGAAGGTCCCTTCAATCCAAGGGTAGATCACCTCACCTGACAGCAGAGGGCAGCATTGTTCTATTCCCTGATGTCAGGTCAGTTTGTTCTCTCTCAATTTTGAAGTTGATGCATTTCCAAGAATTAATGATATGTTCTCAGTGCAATGCTGTTCTGCATGTGTTTCTGACTCTGACTAACTTGATATTTTTACGAAGTGAAGCTGCAGAAAGTTTCACCCGAGGACTGTGCTGAGGTTGCCATGTTATTACAGTGTTTGATGGATGATGTTGGCATGTTGTTGTTTGGGTCCTGGATTCCCAATACCTGTTTCCCCTTCCTGCAGAGGGTGTGGCGTGCGATAGATGAGTGGCACTCGGTTCTGTCGGAGCTCGAAGCCGAGGTGCAGGAGCTGGCACAGCAGGATCCCGGGGAGGCTCAGCAGCTGATGGAGAATCTGTTGGAACCACTCCAGCTACACCAGCACATATCGCACAGAGCAGAGCACAGAACTGCTCTCCTCAACAAGGTGACGGCCCCTCGGCATGGTCTCTAGCACTGTTCATGGTTGTTTCTTCCTCCTATTCTCTCTTTAACTTATCCTGGAACTGTTGAGAGAGCTTCATTCTACATCTAACCTGTACCTGTCCAGGGATAGTAGGAACTGCAGATGCTGGAGAATCCGAGACAACAAGGTGCAGGGCTGGATGAACACAGCATGCCAAGCAGCATCATAGGAGCAGAGAGGCTG